GATCCCTACTTCAGAAGAACTTGATCTACAGTATACTCTAAGAGGCTTTTTAAGGTTTAATTCTTCCATACTCATTTAAATGACTGCATAGGCATCCGTTCCAGTTACTATTTTATTTCCTGTATCGAAACAAGTCCTGGACTGAGGATGAATATATTTGGACAAAGTCCAGAAACTAGGCTCTTTGCAATCCTTTAGTTAAGCTGTAAGATCCTCGCGTAACACCAATGATGTACATTCAGCATATAATGCTATTCGTGCTATGCTTTAAAAACTTTTATGGTCAGCTTTATAGATGAACTTTGTTTGTTCACTTATATGCATTTCTTACTCGTGCCGAGTGGTATTGGTTCGGCCTTTACTCAATTGTTTGTGTCATCTTTTTCATACTCTATTAGGACTTATTTTACGTTGATTTTTTTTCCGACAGCTACTAGTGCCAATAACGGGGTACATAGCATAATATACTTTCTCATAGATCATCCAACCATTTTACTGGTGCCATTTAATTTGTCTGGGCTACTCTACACCACGTCAAAGTTGATTTTTGCTTAGTCAATTCTTTTTGGTGAAATTCCATATATCAAAAATATTTTTATTTCAAGAGCTCTACATGTTTCAAGCAACCATGTTAAAACGTATACCACTAGTTCTTGCGCCCTCCGAGTAAATACTTGAGCTGTATTGTTGATGCAATCTGACTGTCCTATCTTAGATTGGAGTTCGGCCAAATATCTGTTGAAGATATATTTTTATAGCATCTTAAGCTGCACGATTATTCCATGCCAATCTCTCATGATTTGTTAGGATAAATAGAAGGCATTAACAGGCCCATTCGGAGTATCCCTATCACATTTATTCAAATAATTGAATATGTGATCTGCATGAATTTATTTCCACCATATTAACTTTGGACTCAAAAATGAATTTTTGCTTTTCCTTTTTATTTATCTATTGTGTATTCAGGCAACACCTGAAAAATTGGTAGAACAGCTTCTTGTAGAGCCATCCCCATCCGACCTCACTTTTCCAGAGGACTTTTTGCTCACTTACCGGACATTTTTGGATACTCCTTCACCTATTGCAGAACGATTGCTTTCCGCATATACATCAAATTCTCCTGGATCTTTCTTACCAGGTATACCATTACCATAAGTTAATTATTATTTGGCAAACAAATGGCCAACTTCCCATATTCTTACATTCACGCACTTTACTCTTTTTTTCCAATGACCTTTCCTCGACTATTATGAAAAATTTAATAGTTATGCTTCTGAGATTGGATATGCGTTTAAAATTTTATTTTATTTCTTCTAAACTTACTGAAACTTAGATAGTTATCAAATTTTTTATGTTATAAGGCAGTAATTCCCAAACTTTTCCTAGTCGCGGCGCCCTTTTGCAATTAAAATTTTTTTCATGGCGCCCTACCCTAAGTATGACTATTCGTAAGTAAGATATAAAAATAAATAAAATTCGTGTATCTTCATTATTTTTTTTACTTTATTAACATGCAATTAATAATTAATTTGATGGATCAGCCTGAAAATCACTGCACATTTTCTCAAATTGAAAATTTTACAATATTTCGCGGCGCCCCTGTAAAGAGGTCGCGGCTCTCCGGGGCGCTGCGTCGCACAGTTTGGGAATCAGTTCTATAAGGAAACCAAATTAATACTAAGTGGATTTCGAATTCCTTGACTGTTTACTTCTGTTTCACGATACCTATTCCCTATTATCATGATAATCAAATGATTTTTATCGAACTGATAGCTTTAATAATAAAATCATTAATTAAAAAAAATCGAAGGTATGAAGACCAAGATGGTGTGGCCATTTGTGTGGTCGCAGTCTCCTTTCGTTGTATAGAGATTGTTTGACCTTGTTTTCGCAACTTGGTCGTATTGGTAGAATGACTTAGAGGGAAGCACGTAGTCCGGAGTCCATTGTATGCATGATCGGACCGTAGACGCAGTACATTCCCAGACGTATCGCCGGCATCGTCAGTGAGTCTCGCCATTCTTAGCACCACACAACAACTCGTCAAAGAGACAAGTGAAACCGATCCCTTGACCAAACGTGTGCTAAATAGTTGTGGTGTCTCTCCTACTGCCCTGAGCCATTCACATTTCCTATATTCTCTTATCACGCCTTTACTGTTACAATTTTTAGCGTGCTTATTTAGGAGCACACCACTACATCGAAATAAGCACGGTAAAATTGTAACAGTGAAGGCGTGATAGGAGGATATAGGAAATGTAAATAACCCAGGGCAGAAGAAGAGATACCACAACTGTTTGGCACACGTTTGGTCATATGATCGGCTTCACTTGTCTCTTTGACGAGTTGTTTTGTGGTGCTAAGAATGGCGAGACTCACTGAAAATGTCGACTACGATGTCGGCGAAACGTCTGGGAATGTATCACGTCCACGGTCCGACTTTGGAAATGATTATGCATACAATGGACTCCGGACTAGGTGCGTTCCTCTAAGTCTTCCTAACAATATGACCAAGTTGCGAAAACAAGGTCAAGTAATCTCTATAATACTTTTTAGTCTATAATTAGGGTTTCTATACTACCAGTAAATCAGATACTTGTCATGTGTTAACTCTATTTCGCTTAATGCGATGAAGTAAAGTATTATTTGCTCTAATAATCGACTACATTACCATACTTATAAACTAAAAACAAGTAATGTAGTCAATTTGTATGACAAATATAGGTTTGCTTTATCAACAATTTTATCACAGAATGTGCTATGGGAAAATGCCTGGCCTTCCTTTAAGCTCACATCTGCTTTGCGAACTAAGGGAACTCGTGGCAGGATAGAGTGTTAGTTAACGTGCCAAGACTGTATTCTGCAATATCACAGTTTGAGTCCCGCTAGTGGTGCCATAAGGCTTAGGTGTGATCGAAGCTGCAGTCCAACTCTGCTTGGATCAGAATGCTTTTGGGGAAGCAAGGCTATTTGAAATTCAAAGGAGATGTTAGGTCTATCTATATAGTATGAAAATTCTAATATTAGACCCTTCTAACCTTAAGCGAAATAGGGTAAACACATCTCAAATATAATAATGCTAAATATGAAGGCCAAGATGCCGTGGCTCTCAGCATAGTCGCAGTCTCCTTTCGATGCACATAAGTGGGTTGACCTCGTTTTCGCAACTTATTCCTGTTGTCAAAGCGACTTAGCTGAACGCACCTTGTCCGAAGTCCTCTGCCATAGTAGTTAGCATAATTTCCAGAGTCAGATCGTGGACTTATTGAGACTGCACCAAGTCCACGGTCTGACGCTGGGAATAATGATGACTAGTATAGTAGAGGTGCGTCCAATTGAGAACAAGAGCAAGTTGCGCAAATGATCCTGCGATATCTTTTCCTAAAATTAAGGATATTACCTTAATCCAGTCGTCTTTTCTTTGCTGATCCTACTGATGCCTGATCTTCGAGTTTGTTTATGCATTATGCAAATTTTTCACAGATCCTTGCGAAAACAAGGTCAAACAACCTCTATGCAATGAAAGGAGACTGCGAACACACAAAAGGCTACATCATCTTGGTCTTCATACCTTCGAATAAATGGTTATCTTTATCATTCTTTTGACGAGTAACTAATGGATGGGCTTTCTGCTCCGAGCATTCTTTCCAGCTACAATGTCCCTTGTATTTTTCAAAGTTAATATGTGTTTAAATCTATCTCCTTGATGACCCTGCTATTAAAAAACTTTTATGCTTACCTTTTTCGTATTTGTTTATGCCAGACTTAATTTGATGATAGCTAATCTTTCTCATGTTTTCCATATCAATCAATATGAGTGTCTGGTTAAGTGGGGTAAGCAGTTTCTCTTCTGACTTATGCTGGATTCACTCATCGATATTAGTTAATTTCCAAGTTTTAAAGTTTGTGAGAGATTTAACCTTTGATTTTAATTGATTTTACATGTTTTCATCCTTTTTGTTGACCTCTTTCAACATACTTGCAGCATCCATTTTATTCATTACTTCTGGATTACAGATAAATCTAAAGAGGAAGGAGCTGGTCCCACGCCAACCGTATTTTCCGTCAAAACACGTGTAAAGCGCTGTATTTTGCTTTGGGTTCACAACCATTTTGTGGATTTCCAGTACAATCCGGACATGATGAACTTCTTGGAACGGTTTGATGACCTTTTATTTGCTGATGGTACAGGTAATTAAACTGTTTTTACATAGTGTTATTAAATTATTTCAGTTGGGATTATCTATACCTTTTAACATATCATTTTTAAAAATGCTCGATATAAAAGAATGATTTTGCATCTTTAATGAGTTTTTGTTGAAGATGCAAGTTGAAGATTTGCATCAAAAATATACTAGGTATAGATCTCATAAGCATCTTAAACATATTAAAACAAAACATGCGTTTTGCAGAGCTTAGTACATTTTTCACCAAACTCTTGGGCCATATATATATATATATACCATTTTCACTTAGTTTGTCTTGCTTCTGAGTATTTCTGCAATGCTTGGTTATTACATACTTGTTACTGGGAATGTACTTAGTCAATGGTCTGATGCTGGAAATCATGAATGGTAGAGGACGCAGAACTAGGTATTTCCCACAGGTCTAAGTGTTGTCCTGACCAGGTTACGAAGACAAGGTCAAAACAATACTATACAACTAATGTTACAACCTTTTTGTCTTCATATCTACGATTAAGCCTGTCCTCCTATATTTTAATTTGTTATAACTTAATTTTTGCATATCTTCGGTAGTCCAATTCTCATTTTTTTAAATATACTCTATCGACCATTTGTGTTTATTAACTCCAAATTATTGTATCCTTATAGCTTCTAAAAGTTATGTTCCTCTATTCCTTTCTATCTATATATAATCCGTCTTTTAACTTTGCTAGCCGGAGAACGTCGTCTCCTCCATTTGGCATGCAGTACAAAGGCAAAAATCCGCCAAGTTGAAGTAGAATTGATGTATTCATTCAGTCTATCTCAGACGGGCTCTGGTGGCCCCTCCAATATCCCCAATGGGTCTCTTACTGTTTCTTCCAGCCAGGTTGTGTTACACCAGCTCCCTTTCACTCTGATTGGTGGTCGCGATGGGCTTGGAATTTTCTTTGCTCAGGTACGCATTTATTACTTACTAGCTATTGAATGTATTATTTGACTAGTTAATGACCATTTAGAGTAATTTCATAGAAAAAGGTCAATTTTGGTTGATGTACCCCCAGGATGCAAATCAAGTTTCTCCTAGATGTCAGTTTTCAATCAATCATATGCGCTCATTATTCATACCATTGTTCATTATTCAAGTCAGAAGCCTTCTTTAAAGGGCATTTATGCTCTCTAATATCA